AATTTAAAAAATTGAGGGGGGGTAAATACTATTAATTACTATTAATGAGTATTGGGTTCATATAAATTTTAAAAAATTGGGGGGGGGGGGTTATGTTAAACGAAGAATTAAATTGGTCTGCCCTTATTATTATTAATACTGAGATGGATGATGCTAAAATTTGGTGTCTTGATTTGAAAATATAAACCCTATTAAAATCCACATTTAATCTTATACCATTTTATTATGAATTCTAACCTTAACTTCTAACTTAACTTTAAACAAATAAGTTCAAATTTCAGCATCATCAGATAATAATGCGTTAAATAAATTACAAATTTTACATACGCTACTATATTAGATTCAACCAATCCGATTTTGTACTATTTTTCTGAATTAGAATCGGGTAATTCTTGTATGTCCTTATATAACTATTGATCTTTTTGAATTATGATAAAAAAACTTCGTTCAAAGTTTTAAAAAAAATGCAAAAATTGTTTACGTGTATGTTGGATTCTGATTGTTTGAACGTGCTTAGAACATCAATGAACATGACGTGATCTGTTGCGCAAATAGATGCACTCGGGTACCCTTAAATCCGATATAAGAAAGTAAATGAAGTTGGTTAGCATAGTAAAATTTGGCTCTATTTAGGATTTTTCACTTTTTTTGCTGTTTTCGCGGTTTGTTTTGTTACACAATATCCTGAGATTTTATTAGAAATTTAGGGCCGGAGGTCGATTTTCGCTAGGGAATCCAAATAGGCGAGGTTGTTATTTAGACAATGTCTAATGAAAAACATACCATTAGACTCATATGTCTAATTGCTTTTTTTTTATATGTCTCATTGGTCTAATCACCCACAATTTAAATAGGGTTTCGCAACCGAAAAAACCTGTCGACCGAAATATAGCCAACCAGCGTTCGTTATTTGATTTAGGTTTGAGTCCCCGGAATCGAATTTTTCAAAAAATAACGGACCCGGGAGTCGGTTCGGGATCGGTTCTGGGTCTTGGTTCGGTTCTGCGGAACATTACTTGGAAATGAATTAATTGCCGGTAAAGTTGTCGGTGAAGGATTCTGGAAATCTAATTATCGCATCATGTGATGTCGGCGAAATAGTGAAATCCGCTTTGTAGATTGGGTTAGGGTGAAATCCGCGTTTTGTATTATATAAAAGCGGATTTCACCCTTGTGTGATGATCATAGCAGATTTCACCCTTGTGTGATGATCATAGCAGATTTCACTATTTCGCAACTCAGGTTTCACCCTGTCGTATAATGATTACTAATCATAAGGAACCCCGACTGATATCTAGGTTTCGGGATTTCCGATGCTTATCTGATAGGAAGGGAAAATTAGGTAGGTTATGCCGAGATCTCGTGATAAACGATCGCTTCTGAACATAATCGGAGTGATCTCAAACGATGTAACCTGATACCAGTATTACTGTAATATTAATATAGTTTTCGTGTAACATATAATCTATCGAGTCAAAGAAGTCGGAAAGAAGTCGGAAGTGATCGTTGATTGCGTAATCGTTTACCGTGACTAACCCACTTGGAAAATTAAGAGGCTTCTTAGATCTCTTGTGAGTGTCATACTAAAATCGATACAAACCCCCAAATTATGTTAATCTAATACTAATCGGTGTACCTATTAAAGTTCGATCATGTTACGATTTCAGTTCTAACTTTGGGACCGGATTTTCGCATCAATAGTGAAACAAACTATAAAACTCGGTATATAAATTTTATCTGGCTGTCAGCATATCTTCCTGATTAACTTAAAAATTTTGAATTCGTCAACAATGCATTTACCTGAAATAAAATCAATAATTAATAGTGATATAAAAAGTACAGACTTAAATAGATGGCGACTAAAAGTTGAAGATGGTAGACAGACATGGCATTATTTAGATGAGGATGAGGCTAAAAATTGGCCTCAATCTGTCATTGAAAAGTATTGGATTGGATTACATTTTGTAAGTTTTTTTTTTTTTTTTTTTTATAAAAAATGTGGAATTCAATAAATTTGTACTCGGATGGTAGTCGACAAAAAAACATTTACATCAGCACCATCTCTAATCTCAATTTATACATTAATTTAAATCTAAAAAGGAATCAAAAACATTTGAAAAGCCAAAAACAGCTTTCGAAGCAGCCCAAAATGGGTTCGAATATTTTAAGCAATTACAAACTTCTGATGGGCATTGGGCAGGTGAATATGGTGGGCCAATGTTTTTGATACCAGGACTTATTATCGCAATGTATATTACGCATATTCCTATCCCGGAAGTTTGGGGAATCGAAATTATTCGATATTTGGTAAATAAAGCAAATCCTGTTGATGGTGGATGGGGATTGTAAGTTCATTTTCTGTCTTCTGTGATAGCATTTTTTTTTGCTTTAGATTTGTTGGGTTGAACAAGTCACAATTTCAAATTGGTTTAGGCATATTGAACATCATTCAACGGTATTTGGAACTGCTTTGAATTATGTTGTGCTTCGTATCTTAGGTCTTGATCCCGATCATCCGGTACTGGTAAAAAGTAGAGCAACTTTACACAAATTTGGTAAGTGGTTTAATGATGATTTTTATTCTTTCAAGAACTCGTATTAATTATGTGCAAAATTTCGGGGACTCAATAGGAGGTGCAATTGGTGCGCCTTCATGGGGAAAATTTTGGCTAGCATGTTTAAACGTGTATGACTGGGAAGGACTTAATCCAATTCCACCAGAACTATGGTGATTTTCTCTCAAAAAAAAATTTTTTCTTTTTTTTTTATAATTGCATTCTTATTTTCTTTTAATAAATGAAAAAAAGGCTCTTTCCATACTCTGTACCGTTTCATCCAGGTCGTTTTTGGGTTCATACTCGTGCAGTATACCTCCCAATGGGATACTGTTATGGACGTAGATTAAGTGCCGAAGTTACTCCATTAATCGAACAACTTAGGCAGGAATTATATGTTGAACCATTTGAGACAATTAATTGGTCTAGTGCCCGAAATAATATTGCAGATGTTGATCTTTATGTTCCGCATACCAAAACATTAAAGTTTTGCAATTGTATATTTACTTTTTATAATTTATTCATTCTTT